GTAAGGGCTCTAGCCCACGCGGCACCATGAGCTATTTGTCAAATGCGTGGAATACGTGGGGGCATACAGGAGTCGTTGCTTGAAGAAAAGATAGTAGGTGTAATGGGAAAAACTGGGCACCGCCACAACGCGGCAGAGAAGACAATAAAAAAAAAACAGGAACAGTGCTCGGCTGGTGCGTGCAGGGGTCGTCACAATATCCAACGCTCTTCCGCGTGCCGCTCCGCCCCAAGGACAAAAAAAAAACGGGCTCACCCCATCTTCTTTCAGGCCCTCCCTTCCCAGAGGAGTGACAATATCCCGTGCACTGTCGCAATGTGCGGGCGCCGTCGCTCGATCATCGGCCCCCGCGGGAGGGCTTAAATGCCCCAATGGGGGGTTTTCCGTACAGGGCGTGAGGATATTGCGTGCAAACCACACCGGACGCAACAAATGGAAGCATCACACCGGTCGGTAACTCGCACCGGAAGCAGCAGCGCGCGCCGGTACGTCGACCTCGGAAAATATATGACGAGTCACGGCAGTTCGGGGCAATGTTTGCAACATCACTCAGAAGCATGGAGGGAAAGGCTCTTTGAGGAGCCCTAAAGCTCATATAAGTGCGGGGAGCGCCCAATTCCCTGCTCCCCACAGCCTGCGTCACCCACAACATACACCACACTGCTCGCCCCCTGTTCTTCGCATACTGTCTCCCCTCCAATAAGACAGTTGCCAAACTTCCCACACGCCCTGGCGCCCAAAGCGTATACACGGAGCTGGTCTGTTGATGTCCGCGATAAGAAGAAGAAAAAAGTACGTGCTGCATTAAAGCACAGCAGGCTCAGGATGCACGGAGAGGAATGCCTCCTCAGCAGGATAGACAAGGGATAACCAACCTAGGGCAACAGCGGTATAGACATCCTTGAGACGCACGTGTGCCCCCCACCTTACCCGTTGCGCCCACTATTTCCCAAACGGCCTCTTCCACCACCAGCGAAAAGGGTGCGCAGAAGACAGGGCAGCTCACTCAGCACCCTCTCGCAAGAGCCGACGTGCCTTTCCTCATTCGCCTCTGCGGCACAAACAGCAAGAAGCAACACAGGCCGCACACTGCGGGGGTCCCTGCCCTCGATTGAGCCCTCTTACCTCTGCGCGAAAGTCCATCTACAGACGCAGGCATGAGAGGCATTAGATCCAAGTAAGAAGAAGATATCGGGACAAGAGAGTTTTTGCAAACTTTGGCAAGAGCAGGTCAACGCAGCAGCATCCATTTATCCAGCCATCCATAAACACACAACAAAAAAAAAAGGGGGGGGGGGGGAAGGAAGCAAATCTCCCAGACGCGTCGGTGAATGTACACGAGCCCAGCCAGTGGTGAAACTGGCGCGCGCAACACACACGCGACGCAGCGAACAGCAAGCCTATTCCCAGCTGTTCAATCGCTTCCGCATTCCCGAGGAATACATACCCAGTGGCAACAATCCGGGTTATTTTTCTTGAATAGCAAAAAAAAAAAAACTCCCAAAAGTCCTCATTGCGGTTTCGCTGTACTGTGATAGTGCACCTTCACCTCCCACACCGCCTCCTTTGGACGTTCAGCTCCAATTCTGGCCTCAACAGTGGCGGTGGCCCTGAGGAAGCCTTGGTTTTCCAATCCAACGACGGTATAATCAAAATTGCCACCCCACTCGCGAATTGTGAGCTCGTCTCGCACGTACATCAAGAAAAGCTTTCCGACCCTGTCAACGGAGCGATGTGTCAGGGGGTTAGTTGCTGCATTCGCCCAGACTTCTCGTCGCGTATCTGAAGGGGCCGAAGTAGACAGAGAACGCACAAAGGCGGACCACTCTTCCTTTAGCTTTGCGGCAACAGGGTTCTCCTTGGCAAGGCTGCTAAACTCCCCGGCGCCCCCTCCACTTATTTCGCCTCCACAGTGAGAGCTACCGCCTCGTTTCTCTTTGGTGTTGGTACAACCCATAGTCTCCCTATTTTATCACACGTTTTTTGCTCCGTGTGGTGCGTAATGCACACTGCAGGCTTTCTGCTCCACGTAAACAGAATCAATAGAAATGACAAGAGAAAATGTGCATGTCTACCCCTTGGCAAGATGCTCCCCACAGACAGGCTATCCCACAGACTCGTCCCTCTCCTCCGGCAAAGCACAGCACCCACACCCATTCAGTTTTCTCTAAAACATCCCGTTGATGCCCGTCGCTTCCCATTTGCTTCCGGTTATGTGCCGTATTAGTTCTTTTTTCATTTTTTTCAATTTCTTTCCTAACAAGTTACTGCGTCACCCTCGTGCAATAAACGCAATTATGAATGGTCGCCTCCCCGCACACACACATAAGCAGAGCACGCACCTTGAATGCGGCCCCGCCACTTCCACTGCACGGAAAGGGAAGCGCAAATGAAGGTAAACGGCTAGGTCCATTGCGTCAAAAAAAAAAAATCGAACTCCAGTCAGCTATGTTTACCACCCATAAAACAGTAAACACAATTGCTCCATAAACGGGTCTTATGATTATTGGCTCGCTCGAAACTCATACAAGGGACAGTCCTAAGGGCACCGCAACCGTCGGATCCCTCCGCCTCCAGTGGTACTGGGTTGGGTGGGATAACAGAGGAAAAGTGAGCTGCACTCGCCACCTTCCAACGGATTGTTTTAGGAATCTTCTTAGCCCTTTCGAAAAGAAACCGATCGGCATGGAAAAATCGGCCTCATATTTGCTTGGCCACATCTGGGCGCACTTTTTTTTTGTTTTTGTTTTTTTTTTCAATTTGCTGCTGATAATAGAAATTTATCCACCTGGCGAAGGCCTGGACACCTTATCGAGGCGCTAGTGATCAGTAACGTGTAAAACAGGGATACTCGTGCCAGCAATTAGTTCCTTTGACTCGTTGTTGGCCCATGGAGGGCGGCAGGCAAGTCTCAGGAAGTGCCGTGTTCAAAAGGCCTGGCACAAATGAACTAGACTTCCCCACTCAACCGTTGCAGTTGCCAGTGACTAGCGCCGTAACCGTAATAGTAGAGACGCGTGTGATGAGACATAAGCATGCGCGGAAATGCCGGTGTCTAACGCGACACGTGTAGAGAAGGAACGGTCACGATGGAAGGAAAAAAAAGTCATACATTAAAAACAGTCTCCAAGTAGCATTCAACTTTCATCTACTTTCTCTCCTACCTCGCATTTTTTCCTCATAAAGTTGCTTCCATTTACTCGCCGTTGGGCTCACATGTGGGACATGGATGGCCTCAGTAGACGGTACTCACCATGTGCAGTCCAATTTCCGTAAATCATACGTTTTGTTATCGTGTTCAGTTCTGAGTTAAGAAGCAAAATGTTGGCCTTCTTTCCTCGCTCAATTGAGCCAAGCCCATCCAAGCGGGCAATTTTGGCAGGTGTCGTGGCGACCAACTTACAGGCAGAAACGAGGTCCACCCGCATGAGAGTGACCAAATTCATAAACTGATCTGCCAGAGAGCTGGTGCCGCCTGCAAGCGTTTTAGTGTGTCGGCCGGATGCGTCACAGAGACAGCAACCGCCTTCAGCGCGAACGGAAATTAATCGTCCATCGTACGTAAAGCGCTTCCCGTGACGGTTTTCTGATATACAGTCTGAGATGAGGGCAACCTCATCACAACTCCTGGAAGAAAGTGCTACATGCAGAGGAATGGCGTCAGAATGGACAAGGTCTCCAATAATTTCAATATATGGGGTAATGGCACCCTTGTAAATTTCCGCATTGGGAAACGAGGAGCAAAGCGCCACATTGATGAGAGACGGATTTCGATGATGGAAAGACATCACATTGTACACGTGTGTAAGATGCAGCCTGTCTTCCAGCGAGGTTGCAAGTTTCAAGGCACCCAAAATCTCCTTCTTTGTTGCGACGCGGTCGTGTCCAAGTGATGGGCGAACTCCGATAGCGAGGAGATGACGGATGAGCTCGTAGTTGCTGCGCGCGTCAATGTGAGGTGATATCGTCATTACTCGCATAGACGGCATCGTGGCGCACAGTGCTTTAAAACGTTCAAGCGTCCACCTGCTTTCACAAGCAGGCAGACCTCCTCGATCCTGAATAACCGGCCCCTCCGCGTGGATGCCGCCAAGAACGCAGCAATCAGGAATGTAAGCACCGACACGCGCCTCAACTTCTTTAACAGCCTTTTTGACGGTGCTCTTGTGCTCCGATGAGAAGATCATGGATGCCAAAACACAAAGCGTTCCACACCGCGCCAACTCCTTCAGTGAATATTCGGGATTCGTCCAGTGAGCGATAACGTCGCCAGTTCCTCCAAGGCCATGGTTGTGTATGTCCACAAACCCGGGAAGGATGAACCCCCCCTCCACGATCTCGACCTGGGCGTCGCCGTACTTTTGCTTGAGGTCCTTCTCGGAAGGCAAATCTGCCGAGCCGCCCACGCTCTCAATGAGACCACCCACGACAACCACGAAGCCATCATAGAGGACTTCCGAAGGAGTCACGACGTTGCCTTTAATTAGCGAAATAATCCCTGACATCACAGATATCGCAAGCTACGTCGCATGGCAAAAAAAGAAAAAAGAAAGAAGAAACACAAAAAAACATTAAACGTGTGCAACAAAATAAATTGTCAGAAATGACATATTTATCACATCAGAGAAAAACAGAATTTCTCAAGGCGGCTAATTTTTTTTTTTAAAGCAAGAGATAGAGCCGTGTATGCAGAGAAAGATAATGTAAGTAACAATCGAAACCTAGACTAAAGAACAGCCTTGGAAAGGGACGACCTATGACTACTGGTAATATTTCATACCTTCTTTGAGTAATCAAAGGCCGGGCTCAGTGAGCCCACCCCAGGCTTTTAAACGGTAGGAGCTGAGAACGCGAAAACAACCCGCGCACACAAGGGGTCCCAGTAGAAGCCTACTGCCTGCTTTTCTACACTTCGTTTAAATTATCCTCCTCGTGTAGTCAGGAAAAAGAAGATACAATGTGTATACAATAATATATATATGTATGTATATATATTAGTGCCTCTTAAGGAGCTGATAACGTCTACGGTAAGGCATGGTGAGTATTCACTAGAAACGTATGGATCTACCGTCAAGACTTCAAAATGCACTATCCTGTAAATTCTTCTTCTTGAAACTGCACTTGATTCAAGAGGAAGGCGCACACACACGTACACATACACACACGCTGACAGACACTCAAATACGCAGGACCACAGCTCCCTTTCAAACCCCCCACCCACCGAGAAGCGGTTACAGTAACAAGAATAAAGACACGCCCATATACAAGAAGAAATAAC